GGCATGAGACAAAAGAGATCAGTGCTTACACAGGAGGCTGAGGATGGCAAGACCAGAACTGCAGTGTTCAGTCTTTTCCTGTCTTCGTCTGTGATCCTGAACCAGACACGCTTATGTTTTATTCTTCAGCTTCTGTTCTTGTTTTGCAGGAGGTGTGTGGAGGTGTGTTTGAAGAGTACCATAGGCTTTGTAAAGTTGAGTTTTTCTAGAAGTGAAATTTTGAAGTGTCACTTCATCCACTCCCTTCTGCCCCTTCTCCAAGCAGAGTTTCTGACTGCTAAGGTGTTTTTGTATCCGGTTTCTCTGTACAAACATCTTGCGTTTTTACTCGCAAGAATATTGAGAAATACTGTAAATGTGTTATATGCGCTGGAAGGTTGGTGGAAGAGCTGGAGAAGTCAGTCCTCTTTTAGTGTGAAAACTGACCACCTGACCAGCCAGGCTCTTTACTTGCTGGACTAGATAATTTGTTTTCCAGCACCTATAATTTTGTAAGCTTTTTTAATGCTTGTGCAATAATATCTGCTTAAGTATCCTAAAGTTTCCACACGTAAACGCTGCTCGCAGCCTGCATGGGGTCCTTCTGATGTTCTTTCCCATTGGTGGCTTAGTGTCAAATGGTATTATGTAGAGCGAATCTTGGTAGCCTTGATACCCTCTGTTTACTTATCAACATGCCTTCAGTTAAAAACTGTCTTCTGGGTTTAGTAGTGCAGAGTATTCCCTTTAGGCCAGTGATCCAGGAGCAGAGCTTTTAATTTGTTACGCTGAGGGTTATTACTGTGTTAAGACGACTGTTTTGCTCGTTTCCTTATTGGGGAAGTTTTTGTGGGACTGGTTTTAGATGGCATTGGTTTCCCAGTGAGTTGCTAGTATTATTTTTCTTTTTTTTTTTTTTTCCTACTGTTTTTATTTCTCTCCTCATTCTGTCCAAATGTGTGGAGAAACCTAGCTGAAGTGGTCCTTCAGTCCCAGGGAGGCATAGATGATTTCTCCATTACTTTGTACATGCTCTTCTTTGAAGATCTTAGTGTATCCTTTTAGGAACAGATACACATCCTTTTAGGAGTGGTCGTATTGTCATTTCATAAATTTATTGAGTTCTCTCAATCTAATTTAGTTCTTGAGGTTTTTTTTCTTTAGTTCCCTCCCTCTGAAAGCTTGTTTGCTTGATGATTTGTTTTCACTTAAAATGTTTTCATTTTGTGCCAAAACACTGCAAAGTCTTTTGCTATTTTGCATTTTTTGAAAAAGTATGAATGGAAGGTATTCTAGATCAGCTTTGTTTTTGATAGTATGAGGAATGAACCTTTTCTAAAATCTCCCTTAAGACAGCAATCCCTAATTGTCCTTTAAGGCTTTTCCTATATTTTTCCAATTTGACCTGAATGTGCATGATTTAGACGTGTGTTCAGTATTCCAGATGAAAAAAAAAATAATGCTGTGCTGCTTATTTTGTAATTTTTTAAAATATTTTTTGTAATTTTTTTTTTTTGGTCTGTGTGGAATGTGTTTGATCTGCAGAACTTAACTAAATGAATATATATTTCTTCCTATAAAAGGCCAGTTCATTGCAGGGGGGAGTTTATCACTGTCAGAATAATACCAGAATAGAATAGTATCATCACGTCGTGAAAATTATATTTATTACATTATATAATCAGTATAGAGTGGATTTGAAAATATGTAAATTGTGGTCTAACAAATGCTTTAAATGTTGGGATTTAATAAAACTTTATTTACTTATCAAGAAAGATGCCTCTAACGACCTTTTATTTTGTACCAATATTTATTGGAGCAGTACATAATGAATAGTTTTAACACACTAATTCTATTTACCAACAAAAAGCTACTGACCTGAAATCTGACTAGTTTTGGAAAGTGTTACACCCGCACTGCTAAGTGAGGCATGGTGGAAAGTGGGAAAGGTAAGGCCACTATTAAATTTGCCTGTTGCCTACTAGGGGGACAAAGTGCAGGCTGAAGAGATGAGGACGTGATACAGAGAAAAGAATCACTGCAAGGGCAGAGGAAGGGTACTAAGTTTTTGTTTTTTTTTTTTGGAAGGAGCAGAAGAAAACAAGAGTGATTTGTGGTTCTCAATTTTCATACTTAAGCATTGGGGTAGAGAAAAGGCCTTTAAACGGGTGTTCTGTGTTTGAATGGTCTACATAAGCAATGCTAGAAATCTTCACAGGTGGAGGGGTTCACTGAGCACTTGTATCCATATTTGTTTGCTTTCCAAATGAGAAAAAAAACTGTTTTGTAAATTTGGAGAATGAGAGATCCTAAACACTGCTAAATGGTTTTGTGTGCTGAAGCTATGATTTTTTTTTTTTTCCTATGGTGAGAGACGCACACATTATAAAATGTTGAAAGAGCTTTAAGGTTGCAAAACCAAGTTCTTACTTGATTTAAGAAAGGACAAATTCTTTGGTTCTTCCATTTCCCCTGCACGTATGTTCTGAACGTGTAAGATGCAACATTATACCATTGCCTCTAAAGGTCTGAATTTTCAGCTGGGCATTAATATGATGTGGTATGAACGAACTGATGTCCTAAACAGTGTGCGGTTAGTTTGTGTCTGTTAAATCTGCTTACCAAGCTAGCAGACCCACTATCCCATCTAGGGAGCTGCAGGGAATTCATGCCTGCTGCGTATTCACAACTGTGAGTATATAATGTTGACAGAGCCAGACACAAATTCATGACAAGAACTGTTTTGCTTTTGTTGCAAGCCCTGATCTGCAAGCTCTACCTGATCTGGGTAGAGTCAGTCACTGACAATAAAAGGATGTTGAGGAATTGATTATGAAGGGAAGTCTGTTTACAATGGGCAATGAATGAAGTGAATCGGAGTGGGAAGCTTCCTCCCTCTCCTCGCCCCCATAACAATACTGTATCAGGAAGTGTATGTGTGAGAAAGGTGATTTACAGTTATGGTGACATCTTTAAAAGCGTGGCCTTTAAATGGTAAACAGTTCAATGATGATCACTTTCATAATTAATATGTTATTTTGATTGTTTTATTGTTTTAAGAAATTCTTGTTTCTCTGCCAGAGGTGTCTGTCCCATGAGGGTGGAGCTATTTAAATGGTTGATTCACTGTTCAGCATCTCTCAACAGTCATCTGGCATGTAGGGAGCAAGTGTCTTTTCTGTAGACCTCTTAATGTGGTTAGTCTAAGTGAGGAGGCTAAAATCCTCTTTCAGAGGGGAAAACCCAGCAATTTATTTTGACTCTCCTCCTTTATTTCCAGGGATAATGGACTCTTAATGTGCTTTATTTCCTAATGCTTCTCTCTCTCTTTTTTTTTTTTTTTTTTTTTTTAAATATTGCAGAGTTGTGTTGCTGCACCTGACTTCTGAGTTTCATTTAGTCACGATCATTTTGAAACACTTGGCTCTGCATTAATACTGCAACTTGTCACAGTGCCCTAGAGTAAAAAACGTCCAAAGAATGTGAAACATCTGCTTTGGTGTTCTGTAGGGTGAATGGTTTTCTTAGGGGATGGATACACACAGTACAATTCCATCCTAGTGCAGCGTGCCCAGGTATCAAGAAGCAGTTTATAAATTAAAGATCAGCAAAATGTCACTTAGATTTGAATTGAAAGGAACAAAAGCAGATGGTAGATACCTCTGCATCCTCTGCAGTGGTTTACTTGAGGTTTAACAGCCTGGAGTTATAACAACATAATTTCCCAGGGAGAATCCCAACCTTTGTTCCAGAGCAGTTGGTTTGTATTTGTTAGGTCTGTAAGGGCCTGATTTTGTGGACACCTGGCACACGCGTACCTTTGTTGAGTCAAGATTTATTTCAACTTTTATGGAACTCTTTGTGAAGTAATGTTAAGAATGGGTCCGTGTTTGTGGGATCAGGGCTTAAATAGCTTCCCCTATGCAATACTTTGTAGTTCCTTGTAGTTCTTGTTTCCCTACCAGCTCAGGGCTGTATCTTCTCACATCTATTGTTACATGTCCACCTCACAAATGATTTCACTTGTTCACTGTTGGTGGAATGTTTTGGATTGCTATGTGCATTTATGACATTTTCCACAACTTTATTTTAGGCTTCCTGTGAAGAAATGCTTTTATCATAGTTGCAAAGCACTGTAGTTTTCCACCTCCTTGGAGTTTGTAGTCTTCAAATGTTTGCAGAGTGTTATCTCACTCAGTTGCTCCATTTAATGGCAGTCTAGGGATAGGCATGTTTACTCACCAATTTTGTCCTCCAGTTTTCAGGAGAGTGTGTTTTTCCTTTGTACTATTGTTCTTGTGGCCTGTGACACGTTGCATTGGCTCCTTTTTGCTGTCTTGTTGCACTAAGAATCTGGTCTTGGTTGGCAGTTGTGTCCAGTTGTTGGCCAGGAGTCTCAGTAGTTGCAACTTTATGGTTATATGTCTGCTGTATTTTACTTCTTCCATTCCTTTCTCTTTACCTGTAGTTGTACACACTACTGTAACAAAATTGTTCAGCAGTTAACAGAAAGAAGTGGTTTCATGTGAAGGTTCTTCAAAACTATGTGTGGTCTGTTGGTCCCTACTTAACCTTTGGGCAAATTTCCTCAGATGGTGGATGGCTCTTGTGTAGTGGGGGTCATCTGGGGTTGTATGGTGGTCTACGTCTGTCTTACCTTTCTAATTTCATCGCTTTTGTTTCATGGAATCAATTTCCTAACTACTATGCCCCATTCTCGATACGGGGCAGGCCAAGGCTCACCTTTTCAAGAAAAAGGCCAATGTCCTTCAGCATCTTTTAGTTTATGCTATTAAAAGGTGTGTTTCATTTGGACTAGTGTAATATCCAATGAATCGTGAGGTTTGTTTGGTTGACTTCTGACTTTATTTTCTGACAGGTATGGAGAAATAACTGATTACAATTTCTGACTGGGGATATTACTTCATAAGATCTTTTATTGAAGGTTTAGGTGTTCGTTTTTTTTTTTTTTATGTGCTCAGTAATGAATCTAATAAAATGCAAATACAAAGTCCTAAAACATGAAGACAGCCACCTGTTTAGTGGTATGTGGAGGAGAAAAGTAGTGCAGGTGACAGGGATGCGAAAGATACTGAGAGATGTAGGATGTTAAGGTTTGCTAAAAAAATTCAAAGTTAAAGGTTCTTAAAGGCATAGGACAAGGCACTTAAAAAAATAATCTTCTGTTTTTCTTGTTTTTTAATGAGCAAAAGAAGTACTGCTGTTGGTCATAGTAGTTTAAATCTTACTAAGATCATAGGCTCACTTGAGAGTAATCCCATGCTCTTGAAGTTAAGGTGTTTTTCCTATGGCTAGGAAGTACATGTTCTTATTCTCAATTTGCCTGCTTCTTTTTTTACAGTTCACTGGAAAACTATTGAAAGTAGGACTTTCTTCAAAAATGACTAATCTTTAGTGACTTACATAAATGTATGCAGTTTCCCAGACTGATCAATCAAACAGTTTTATACTTACTAAGCTTTCAAACCTGCATGTATTAGTGCCCTGGAGCATTTCGAATGAGAGCTTTTGAGAGCAAATACCACAACTGGCTTTTGCTTCTAGACTTGACTGTGATGTTAAGTTTAGTAATTTGAAGCATTGAGTGCAAAGCATTGGTGCTCATCAAATCTCCCCTAACTAATTCCTCGTCATTTGCACTGGTGTAGTAAGCATCTGCAACATGTATAACTGTAGAAAGATGGTACTATATACTCGTTAAAAGTGGAGAATGCGTGTGGCATATATTGGTGTAGTAGTGAATCCTGTCATTGCTGAGTGGTTGGCAGATAGATGTATTATAGTCCTTTGGTGTGTTAGGCTCAGGTGGGCTATGTGTAGCTAGGGCAGAGCCATTCACCATCACTTATTTTAACACCATTGTACCTTCCATTGTGGACAACCCACAGGTGTTGTGTAGACTGTTCTCCATGTCTTTCAAGGCAGAAAAAGATTATATTGTGTATTTTTCTTTATTTTATTTTTTTATTTTGTACACAGAGTATACCCCAGAGGAGTTTTGGGATTGATTATGACTGTGGCTGCTTTGTCAAGGATGGGAAACCTTTCCGTTACATCTCAGGTAGCATTCACTACTCACGGGTGCCCCAGTATTACTGGAAAGACCGTTTGTTGAAGATGAAGATGGCAGGACTTGATGCCATCCAAACGTAAGTAGCTGTTGACTTTCAAAGGGATTTCTAGTCCTGGGAGATGTGTGAGAAGTAGTTAAGTGGAATGCTAGCATTGGTTTATTAATTTTTAACTAATAGGTGAGAAGGCTGTGGAGAAGTGAATGGTGGTACAGGATGACCTCTAACAGCACAGACTGGGACAACTGGGCAGGTTATAGCTAACAGTGCACTTTGCTGCTGCAAAGCAATGCCTCTTGCTTCACATCCAGGAGTGCAAATGTAACCTGGAATAAATTGTTGGACTGTGAACTTTGGCAACTAAGGAACAGTTGTATGTGCCCTGCCCCTGCCAAAGGCATTGTAATCTCTGGTCAAAAGGCAGACGAGGTGAGAGGGGACAATAACCTCTTGATACAGTCTAGGTTGTATCACCTTGGTGCCTTTAAAATATTGGCAAATGCTGCAATAATATTTAAAGCAATTTTACCAGGGGTGTTTAAATTCAGAAAAACGGTGGGGAAGTAGGTGTACTTCTTTCAAAAAACAACAAAAACAAAAAAGACAGTTTAAATAGCTTTCAGTTGGGTGTACCAAACCTTTAGTCCATCCTTCTTGTCTTGCCTACCTGGTTGTGTACTTATGACAACAGGTGAAGCACAGATTAAAAAAAAAAAATGCAGCTTACTCTTACTTTTGCCAAAGTTTCCTTGACAAGGCAAGAGGAGTGGTAGAAAGGTGTAAGGCACAGTCTTTTCAAGTAGTGGTTGTAACTCCCAAATGTTTTTGTTTTTCTTTCCTAAATCATTACAAGGCTTAGAGCTTCTCTTTGAAAGAGCTTGCTTGTGTGCTGTGGACTGCCAGACAGCAGTGGTTCTGGCAGCACAGAGCCTGTAGGCGAGGGCACTTTCCTCAGTGGGAGTGTTGCACCATCTCTCCTTCCCCTCCCTTGAAATCTTTGTTTTGTTTGACCTGCAAGTTGCAGGGTTGCCTTGTGCGCTTGAGGAAGTGATTAGTAAGGGCTACTACGTGAAGAACAGATGGCAGGGAAAGAAAAGTTGCTTATCCCCCCCCCAAATTTAGGGTTCACTGTTTTTTTTGGATGTCTTAAAACTCTTCCTTGTGTTGTAATGTAGTGACTTTTTGGTGGGTGTGTTTTGTTGTTTTCTAATAAAGCAAGCAACTTTTATCTTCCTTCACATAAGAACAATGGGATTAAGTAACACACTTGCTCAGGACAGAGTTGCTGGAATTGCCCAGGTAATTATTTTTTGCTGCAATATAAGTAATCTGAAGTGGACCTGAAAATTATACCTTTTGATGTCTGGCTTGAAGATCAGCCTCGGTCCTGACAGTGGCTCAGTGACTCCTCTGATCTGTAGTGTCTCATACTTCCCTTATGTCTCCTGATTTATTTTCCTCCTCCTCCCAACACACATATCTTCAGTGCCCTCTGTTAATTTCCAGCTTTTTCAAGCAGTCCCTTCCTTTTTTCTTTGATTGCCTGTTCGTGTCTCTGCTGCATCAGTGATCTTTTGAGATAGGAATCTTTTCTTTCCCATTCCCCCCATCATTGTTGTTTAATGGCAAAATTGTTGCAGGGCTGGGGTTTAGGGTTGGTTGGTTGGTTTGGGGTTTTTTTTTTTGTTTGTTTGTTTTTTCCCCTGTTACTTCCTTCTTCCTTTGTGGTTTCCTAGCAAGTTTTTTTTTCCTTCTTTATTTTCTTTTTTTTCCACTTGTTGAGATCACTTACTCTGTGCTTTACTGTTTTGCATTAGTGTCCTTCAGCTGTGCAGGAAGGAGTGGAGATTGTCTTGTATTGCTGGTGTCAACTGGTCTCTGTTGGTCTTGGGAGAGCTGTTTCTGTTTCGGCACGGAAGGTGCAGTACAGGTAGCAAGTGTTGCCCTGTGGTTATGTGACCTATGGCATTAGGTGTTGTTGCTGGATCGCTGATGGCGGATAACAGGTTATTTACAACCTCCTTTTCTTTTTGTGGAGCAGGCTGGGGTTCTTTAACTTTCTCCTCCATCATTGCTTACCTTTGGATTTTTCCTACTATGGTGAAAGATAGCTCCTAAATGTGTATCTTATAAGGAGAAAGTGCCACTGTGTCTTGCATTTACTACAAGGATCAAATCCATGCATCTTTCCATTTGACACTGATCTCTCTCTCTCTCTGGATGCTAAAAAACCAACCAACCAAAAAACGCAAACCACCCACCAAAACCCTTTCGTTTTTCTTTGAAGTTTGCAGATAATCAAGTTTACTGCTGTTGATTATTTGGGATAAAGCAATAAATTTTCATGTTACCCCAAACAACTCTGCTATGATTTTTGTGTGGTTTTGGTAAAAATGGAAATTGGTCTAGATGATTATTTAGTTGTGTTTTTGTTTTCTCTTCTTCTGCCTACTCTTTCCTGGATTAGTAAAACTATTAGCAAGGGACTGAGATACCAGTTGTGTGAAGTTGTTCTGGAATGGGCAGCAGCATTGCTAGATCTTCTGGCAGAATGTGGTAGTCAGACTGCCAGTCTTCGGGCCACTTCTGAATACTGTGATTTTGCTGCTTAGGGTTTTTCCCATAAGAAGGGAAGGGTCTTGCTGTAATTTGAGGCTTACCCACTTCAAGGGAAACCGGATCCTTTTATTACAGGATTGTCCTCATAAATACCTTGTGGTCAAAGCAAGCCAGACCTGCTGTCCTTCCTATTCTCTGCAGCTTTGTTTCCAAAATAACTTGCTATGCCTTGAGGCATCATTCAGCTAATCGCTGACTCAGTAGCTCACCTGGGACTCTTGAATGGGTGAAGTCAGTATATGTATATAACCATCTGCACCTGGAAACCTAGAATCATGTAGGTTGGAAAAGACCTTTAAGATCATAGAGTCCAACTGTTAACCTCGCACTGCCAAGTCCACCGCTAAACTGTGTCCCGAAGCACCACATCTACAGGTCTTTGAAATCCCTCCAGGGATCGTGACTCAACCACTTCCCTGGGCAGCCTGTTCCAATGCTTGACAACCCATTTGGTGAAGAAATTTTTCCTAATATCCAATCTAAACCTCCGCTGGTGCAACTTGAGGCCATGTCCTCTTGTCCTGTCACTTGTTACTTGGGAGAAGACACTGACACTCACCTTGCTACAACCTCCTTGCAGGAAGTTGTGGAGAGTGATAAGGTCTGCCCTGAGCCTCCTTGTCTCCAGGCTAAACAACCCCAGTTCCCGCAGCTGCACTTGTGCTCTAGACCCTTTACCAGCTTAGGTGCTCTTCTTTGGATGTGCTCCACTACCTCCATGTCTTTTTTGAGGGGCCAAAACTGAACACAGTATGCGAGGTGCAACCTCACCATGCATTTTAATACATGATGTTCCACGTGTCTGAGCTCTAGGAAAGATCACCATGTACTTTCACGTACAAGCTATACTGATATGTGAGTATTACAACTAAAGCAACACTTGAAAGATATAATCAAGAATGTCTTTAAAATTACAAAATGTTTCACTAAAAACATCTTAAGCAATAAGAGAATATGAGAAAACAGGTGACAGGAAGCTTGATTTTACATTAAAGCTTAAAATATCAAGGCCTAAATATTCCAAAGAGCAAGTTGAAATTTGATGTCGTTGGTGTGACTTCCCAGAAGATGGTGGAGCTCCACTCCTGACCTCCGCGGGTCAGGTAGCACGTAGAGGCATCTGGTCACATAAGGGTAATTATGGTTTGTTTTTTTTTTCAGTTCCTGCGCGGTGTCTGCCAACTAGAAACGAATGCTATCAAAGACATCTGGAAAGTACTGAAACTTCGTGGTTTCTTTAGGGTTTTTTGGCATGGATGAGATAAACAATTAACCACTAGATGGAGCTAACTATTTACAGGATTTATAGATCAGAGGAGAACCTTCCTGGAAGAATCGGCAGTTACCTTACAGGCTTAGAGAGAGTTAAAGAATTTTGGGCGTTTTATTTGTTTTACTGTATTTGTTGACTAACGAGCAGAAAACTGTAAACCTGTAGAATCTCCCCTTAAGAAACAGCTGCTGTTTAGAATCTCTATTAATTAAAAAATAAGCATAATTTATTTTTTCTAAAGACTCATGCATGTGTAATTTAACTAGCATGTATAAAATGGTGCTCTATTATTTATTAAATTAGTACAAGCTATTGAATGTTACACTATTTAAAAAAAACCCACCTATGGTATTAAAGAGAATTATCCTGCACATTAAGGTAGTTAAAGTGGGGGTTTTGCCTGTTGACATCTCTGAAATAGCAGAGGAAAACTCTGACTTTTAAGGAGAAGGAAGGTTATAAGATAAAGCTTAGAAATTGCATGTAAATGGAGAGTAAATGCTATTACTCAAATACAGAAATACCACGTTTCAAGTTTGAAAAAGGAAAGTAGCATTCCTTTATAAAGGCATTATTTTGTAGCTAAAGCAGTACAGCATTAACAACTGATTATAAATTTGTACAATGATATATAGGAATTATACTTGCTAATAATAAGAATTTCAAAGTAAAATGATTAAATTTGAGGTCATTGGGAGCTGTAGAAAATATACTGGGGGATTAAAGTGTGTTAGTAACAATTGTTAGACCAGTGTTTAAAATACATTTGTATCATGATTCATTCTGTAAGAAAACATTTCACATATTATTTTTTTTTTCTTCACTTTCTTCCCTTCTCTGCTAAAAACTGCTTTTTTCCCAGCCTTGTGGGGAAGCATGGGACATCAATTAAAACTGTTTCTGGAAGAATTTTTCTGTCTTCTTCCATCTTGAGCATAATGGAGCTGGAGATACCCTTTTGTCCTCACCTCAGGCACTATTAAGTGTGTTTAGACCTTCAGACTTGCTTCTAGAACAAGTTCATAAAACTCTCCAATGAGTATATTTTTATAATTAACAGGCTAAAAGGCGTAGTTAAATTGAAGCTAGAATGTTTTTGTCGTATTTAACCTGTAGTTTACTTACCAGTTATAAATAAGGTGCTCGATAGCCTAAAGAGAAAGGAGTATAAGCATTTGTTGCTGAATATAAGCAGTTTCTGTAGTAGTATTTTAAGCAGTGAGAAACTGTTACGAAGTTAGTATCTGGTCATCTTTCTTTAGCACACACAGGTGCAGCTCTCTGCTAGAAGCATTTTTCAGTGAATGAGTTGGTACGTCAACATGCCTGTTAATTCCTCCCAGAAAAAGCTTTGTCTCTTACTGCAGTGTCATATTGGTGATTCATAGTTAGATGGTACTTTTCTTGGCACTACCAAAACCTGTTCTTGCTTTGATATGGACTACTGCAGACATACTGCAAAGTACTAAGCTTTATTTCAGTAATTATTTCAACACCTTCTACCATATGAAGTACCTCAAAGAAGAAAGGCTCTACTGTAACTCTTATATTTTACTAATCTGAAGACCAGTTCAGCGTTACAGCTCTCTGGTGTGTGTAGTGCAAACAGTTGTTATTTGGAGTTCTGGTTTAGTCTCAGTTTTCTAATGGAAGGTGATCTTCTCTCTTCGTAGGTATGTGCCGTGGAACTACCACGAGCCCCAGCTGGGCGTTTATGATTTTTCTGGTGACAAAGACCTCGAGTATTTCCTGCAGCTTGCTAATGACACTGGTTTGCTGGTTATCCTGAGAGCTGGACCTTACATCTGTGCAGAATGGGACATGGTACAGCCTTTTTTAACAGTTATCTCGTTTCTAGGGTAAATCTAATACAAATGTTTGTGTCTTAAAGTAGACAAACATACTTGGTGTATCCTTGGACAAGACTCTTGGTTTAGCATATTAAAATCCATGCATCCTAAGTGACTTATTACAATGCAAGTTTACTTTGTATTTGTTTTTTCATTGGGAATTATTACTTGTAGAAAAATCAATCTTCAGATCTCAGTATATGTTTTGATAAAAAGTTAAATTCTTCTTAGATTTCCTAAAAATGGTCACCAAAGTGATTCCCTTTCTTTTCCCAGGGTGGTCTTCCTGCATGGCTGTTGGAGAAGAAATCTATTGTTCTCAGGTCTTCTGATTCAGGTAGAGGCATCAAAAAGGGCTAGCAAAAATACACTTTAGCAGCAACGCTACTTGCTGTTTGAGGCCATTACTGGATGATTCATATTTCAGCTTAAGTTATTTTGTAAGTAACATCTTCAGTACTTTTAATAAGCAGCATGCATTCAGGAAGTATATAGAATAAACAAAGTAGGGTAGAAAGTTTCCAAAGTATTGTCAAGTTTCATGAAAATTGATGCCAAGAGAGAAATCATTGACACCATTGAGGAAAAAAACAGGTAGCCCTGAGCTTTGAGTTTTTCGATTTTGCAATGGCCAACTGGCCACTGTCATGAGGCTCCTTCCTGGCTGGTCAGTGTGCCCATAATTCCAGAACTAGTTGCAGCATTCTTAGATTCTCCCTGGTCATGGACCAGTCATGGAGGGATAAGATGAGACAAAAGATTAATGTGGTTATTGGAGTGTTTATTAGGAGACAAAGATATATATCTGACTTCAGTTCTGCTTCTGCTTATTGTGGGATAAATTATCTATTTAAAAAAAATAGTATATATAGCAACATTCGGATTTGTATTCCTGTTGAAGTGTGTTAGGACAACCTGTGTGAGACATATTGAAGTCTCTCTGGTGATTTTCAAAGCTCATCAGAATTTAAATGTTTTATTTTTTAGTAAACTGTACTGGAAGCTGATGTTTATGAACAAGTATAAGAGCACATCAGTTCATTAAATGCTGTTCTGTTATACTCTACATATTTAGAACACTAGGTAAAATCTACCCATATATAATTTAAAACAAAAACTAGAAAAAAGCAGAAAAGTTGTGAAACTTTTGTACTTTGTGTATCGCAGATTACCTGGCAGCAGTAGAGAAATGGATGGGTGTCCTTTTGCCAAAGATGAGGCCTCACCTCTATCACAACGGAGGTCCAATCATCATGGTGCAGGTAACTTCCTAAAAATCAAATGAACCCAAGCAGCATGGATGCTTATATTGCTCTTGCAGATGCTCCATGGGTGGTGGGTGGTAATGTCACAGGTATTCCTTAACGGTTTCAGGTAGCTGAAAGGTTTATCCTAAAGAACAGAATGCACTGTTCCCAGCATTCAGAGAGCACTCATCTGCTCCATTAAAATTGTTTCCCACAACTATAGAAAGCAATAGAAGAAGCTTGTGGAGCTTTTTAGATCTGAATTTCATACCAGTTCTCACGTAAAGCCAAAATACATTACAATTACCTGAAACTCTCTGACATGAAAAAGAAGAATAAGGATACCGGAAGATAAAAGCAAAAGTCTAAAACTTGTGACAAAACCAGTTTCAAATTTAGGCTTTTGAGTTCTTAGCACCTAACTTAAGCTGTAAATGTTTCAGGACACAATGTTGCATGTTCATGGTGCGTAGCTTCTCTCTTAAACTCCTTCTAGATGTGCAATGGTGATTGTTCCATATTCTTAGTATTTTTTTAAACTCTCTGGTTGGCACAGGATGGGATAGGAGACCTTTCTTATAATATGCCCAAGGCCATTGTTCTTGAACAATGTATTATGTCTATTGAGAAAAAAGTACTAGGCAAAATTATGCCTTGGCAGAAATAAGATGCTTATAACAGGATTTTCAGAAATAACCTTCAGGTGTGCATGGCATTGGATCTGGAGCTTGAAAGTCCATCCCCTTGGGAAAAGGGCAAGATGCATACCTCTCAGCAGTAGCAGGGTTGTCCTTCTCCCCTCAGTCCTTTGAGTGCGTTGCAGGGCTTTGCTGTTCATGTGAGCTCCTTGTAGGTGCCTCTGTTCTGGAAGTCTAATTTTGCCATACTTTTGATCATGTCACAACTTGTTCTATGGTTTTGTTGTTCTGCTTGGGAGGTGGGTCATAGCTCTCCATTTTTCATAAAGACTGTTTTGATCACTTGCTAAGTAGCTAGGGTAAAGTTTTTTATACGAAGGGTGATTTTGTAGAAAAATGACTTATCTCTACACAATGATTACTCCACTGTAAGATATAGGTGAGAGGAATGAGTGCTCAGAAGCGTTGTCTTCTGTTACTCCTCAGGTCTGGAGTTAAAATGACATTTTCAGCATGGCCATCAAAGGAAGAGGATGGTTGGATTTGGGCTTTCCATTTTTGTTATTAGATGCTGACTGAAATTGGCTACTGCTTTACTGACTTGCTTTTACTGTGCAGGTAGAGAATGAGTATGGAAGCTACTTTGCTTGTGACTACGACTATCTGCGTTCCCTTCTGAAGCTCTTTCGCCAGCACCTTGGGGATGAAGTGGTGCTGTTCACAACTGATGGTGCAAGCCAGTTTCACTTGAGATGTGGAGCTCTTCAGGGTCTTTATGCAACAGTGGACTTTGCCCCAGGTTGGAGACTGTGGTTTGTTACCACAAAAATCTGTTGTGTGTGTGTTTGTGGCAGAACAAACTAACTTGACTGCTTGACAAACCTGACAGCTTTGTTTAAATGGGTTAATAGAATCATAGAATATCTCAAGTTGGAAGGGACCCGTAAGGATTATCGAGTCAATTCCCTGGCATTTATGTATATTTGATATACTGTTAAATGTACAAGAATCACCCACAAGTACCCAGTTAGAGAGTCATAATCATTTCCTTGCATCATGAAATCATGATGGGACCTGGAGATGGACTTCTTACAAGGGCATGTAGTGGTAGGACGGGGGGTAGTGGCTTCAAAGTGGGAGAGGGTCGATTTAGAATAGATATAAGGAAGAAGTTTTTCGCTGTGAGGGTGGTGAGGCACTGGAACAGGTTTCCGAGGGAAGTTGTGGAGGCCCCATCCCTGGAAGTGTTCAAGGCCAGGTTGGATGGGGCTTTGAGCAACCTGGTCTAGTGGGAGGTGTCCCTGCCCATGGCAGGAGGGTTGGAACTAGGGGATCTTTAAGGTACCTTCCAACCTAAACCATTCTATGATTTTTATGATAAACAATTTACACTGCTCATAGGGCATATCTCTGAAAAGTTAGCAGTAATAGTTGGCATTGATTCTATTGATTATTTTTAATTTGTTTTTAAATAGATATTTTTTTATGCTGGGTTCTTTTTGTTGTTGTTGGTTTTGGTTTGTTTTCTCAATGCCTTCTATCCCAGAATCCAGCCCTCATAGTTTCATTTATTTTTAAGTCAGTGGTTACTGGGGAAAAAAAATTACTGCTGAAGATCATCACACATGAAATGTGATGAAATGTGCACACTGCCACAATTTGCTGTGATACAGGCCTGAAGAATGTCGAAGCAACCACAGTGCCCAGAAAGTGTTCTTTTGCTAGAAGAGGAGAGTTGATGATGTAAATGTTCATATACTGCACAGACTGCGCAAAATAGGCTTAAGGCACAAGAAACAAACTCCAAGACAGATCTTTCCGTGTTTTTTTATGTGTGGCCTCTTTTGTACGATATTCTCTCCACATTCAAAGATGGGTGCTTAGCAGGAATCTGTTTTCTTACAAGTAGGTTGAAATTGTGAACTCCTTCATGTGTCTCATTTACAAGATGGTGAGCTACTCATCGAAGTAGTTACTTCCAGTCCCTATGGCTTGAGCCACTAGGAGTGATCAGAAGTGAAACTTCTCTTTAGAGATTGCCTGGCATCTGTTTTTCCCCATAGTCCTGATACCGCAACCCTAGGCCTATAGTTTCCAATGACCAAGTAGCGATTCCCACCCATCTTGAACTTCTTGGTGCCAGGATGTCATTCCTGAGAAAATCTGGTCAGAAGATGTATCTTAGTAGACATACATGCATGAATGCATACGTGTACATATATATTTTAAATAAGTTCTGCAGCTTAAACACTGAAATGAAAGGTATTGATTCCTGTGTTTTCTGAAGTAACTTTATTGTCTGGATTTTTGCTAGGTGTTGGAAGGAAGGTTAAGACAGCTATTTCAGTAAAATGAAGGACTGAAAAAGTCATGGATGTCGCAACTCAGTTTTATTTCTGTTTGCTTGTAGGTGGCAATGTCACAGCAGCATTCTTAGCTCAAAGGAGCAGTGAACCTACAGGCCCTTTGGTATGTCTTTTCACTTAAATTTCTTGTATTATTCTTAATCTTGCAGTGGTTAGTAAGAGACAAGTTGACAACAGTGTGTTGGACAGTTTTAGGGACACGTTTACGAAGACATAATTTCCAAGTCAGTCAGAAAAACTGAACAGAGGAGCTTCTGTGTGCGTTTGTCAAATCCATGTTAACTGCTGTTCTGCAAATACTATTTTAGTCTCCAAAGGTATTGATTTTGTTTCAGTATTTTTCCTTGCTAAGACAAATGTTTACAAAGCAGCGGAAACAGTAAGTATGATTAGATGAGTTAGTGAGGTACATGTGTGGGTGGAAGTTAAAAGCAAAATTAAAAGGGCAGGTTAGAAGTTGCTTCCTGTTTTCGGCTACCCTAGAGGTTTTACACAAGTTATAATGGGATGTGAGGTCACTGGTAGCCATTTTGACAAAGAGAGAAGGCCCATTGAGAGTACAAGATTATCTCTATGCTGTGAAATTGTTTGAGTATTTGAAAGACTTCTTTTCCATTACATCCAGTGTGCTGTTCTGCAGAGATTGGATTGGCTCCATCACTTATTTGAAATCCAAGCATCTGAAACACATTCATGTTGACAGTTTCCAAGGAAATTCATGCTCTTTGGTACTTAAACAATTATTTTCAAAGTGTCCTTATAAAATTATTGAAACAATCCTTTAATTTCTTTGACCAGTTATCTGCTGAAAAGGACTCAGCTAGTGTATACTTTGCTGTATTTATAGTAGTTTAAAAATGGCTCAAATGAGTCAAGGTGCCTTTTTTCCTTCCCTCTTACAGTTAGTAACCTTAAGTCACATTGCATTCTGTTCTTGTTCCCTCTTCATGTTTTCCCTTCCTCTTTTGCTCTTCCTCCTTTCAGGTTAATTCTGAGTTTTATACTGGATGGTTGGATCACTGGGGGCACCGTCATTCTGTTGTGCCCACACAAACTGTAGCTAAAACACTTAATGAAATCCTGGCACGTGGTGCTAACGTTAACCTGTAAGTGTGTGTTCAGTAGAGGCTAATTTTGGGGATGTTTTTTTTTCCCAATTCAGCAAAACCTGATTTAAGTGGATGGCTTTTTTCCTTTTTAGGTACATGTTTATAGGCGGAACTAACTTTGCCTATTGGAATGGTAAGAAATTATTTAAATCATACTAATGATATAGGGGAGCTGTTCGTGAATTAGGTAGTAATGTATTCTGTGAAAGAATAAGCTTTGCCTGCTTTCACATGGCAAAAGATGACTCCACTAGCTGTTCTTTGTCTATTGTCAGCATGTTGTGCTAAACCCGCATGGTATTTATCTTTGCAAAGGCTACTTCTGCTTCCCTCAGTCCTGTGAAATGGTTGAAACATGAATAAATTTGGTTCTCTTCAGAATATTTCTGAAGACTGTATAACAGAGCAGCGTGAGCTCAGAAGGGTATTGTCCTCCATCAGGAATAGTTTCTTTACGCCAAATCCGAATACCAAGGCCTACATTGAATCTAAAAATGTAGCAGAGTCTGGCTGCGATTGGAAAGAATTCTAAAAGTTGACAGCTTTGGAAAAAACAACTCTTTCACTGTTTCCATTGCTTTTTTTTTTTTTTTCTCCCCACCCTTAGGTGCTAATATGCCATATATGCCACAGCCCACTAGTTATGACTATGATGCTCCACTGAGTGAAGCGGGGGATCTGACAGAAAAATATTTTGCCTTGAGGGAAGTCATTGGTATGGTGAGTGTCCCTAGGACGTGGTTAGAATGGTTCTTTGAAACATCCCTGGTGTACTGCAAACTCTGTCGCTCTTGTGCTGGTGTAAGTTACTTGTGAATTTGCTATTTTCTGCAGGTAAGGGAAGTGAATTAGAACAAGGCGATTAGGCCAACCTAAGTGCTTGCTGTTACAAAAGATCTTGCACCTCTGTGGCTATCCTTTCTGTCCTGATGGCTCCTTCCTTCCTTTCAAAGTTGTGGATACAGGTGCAGGTCTGATACCGAAGTGATTCAGCTCTGCTTTTTTGCTCATTTTTTTTCTTTCAACTCCAGGTCAGCAAGCTGAATTGGCTTGCTCAATCAGATGAGAGCCAGTGCTGGCACAAGGGGAGCAGAGGGAGGCCGGAAGGGTTTGGCTGGGAGTAGGTGGAGGAGGAGTGAACAGAGCTTTTCCCTTGCAGCATCGGTCAGCCATTCAGTCAGGTCAGGCTCATCACTCGATGGCAGACTGATATGCACTGCAGCTTAGCGCTTTGGCTGTCTATATCCCAAGCTTCACGTTGTGGTTTTGGGCCTCTGAGAAGGAGTGTGCTTATCCAAATGAACACATCTTGGTTTTGTGATGCCACAAACTTTAGCTAGTGGGTGAGACCAGCTTTGCCTTTGCTGTAACAACGTGCAGTGTCTCTACAAACTGGAGATTGAAGTGAAACATGGAACCTGTATCTGGATTTTGAATAGCCTTGCATTGGAGGCTGTTCAGATGAGGCTTAAAAACGGATTCCATGGGAATCCCAAGGCTCAGGCTTGTATTTGCTGTCCTGTTGCATGCCACCAACATTCCTATTCGCTAGAAGATGTTTTTTTTATGGGAGTAGATCTCCCAGACGTGTATTACACTTTTTCTGGGGTTGAGCATGGTTTTATCTCCGTACCTATGGAAGGCCTGCTGTGGATCATTTTCTTCAATTTCTCCATTACCCCTAAGCTTTCCATTGATGGGATAATTTTGATAGCCTTTCACGGAGAACCTCCTGTCTTCATGCAGCTTTTCTCACCAAAGAAATTCCTGTTTTTAAGTTGTTTTCTTCAAGGCAAGATGCCTATCTGAAATGTAAGTAGTGTTCTAGTATGGTAAGAGAGCTTGATAAGATCTGAAGTGTTCAGTATAACCTAAGGTGTGTTGGGTCATGGTACAGCTTTTTTTTTGGTGTGGTTTGTTTATCTCTTGCCTTCCATATCCATAGGATCTCAGTGCTAAGTTTTCCTGTCTCTGCTGTGGGTTCTAAACCCATAACAGTCTATCTACTCAGTTGCAGTTTGAGGTGGAGCTGATGAAAGAAAATTAAGTTGCCTGTAACTAATGGCTTTGTTCAACGTGTCGGCTGTGCTACAAGGCTAACACGTTATAATCTTCCTTTACTGTTTCCTTCAGTTAATAAATGTAATAAAGAAGAAGGGTTTCAGTGTACAGCTTCTTTCAATTGCTGATAGCATTCTCTATTTTTTAGTATTTGTGCTGAAATTTCCTACTTTTGACTAATTCTCTGGGGTGAATATAGTTTTTCTTTTATTTAAGCCTGAATATCTTGATTATTTTCAAATAGAGGAAGAAATGAACTTGTTACTGGAAATATAAATCAGGCTTTCATTAGTCTATGGTTGAGATTTGACAGGAGGCAGGAGGGCATTGGGAATTATACTGCTGGGGTCTGTTTATAAAAAAACAAACACAAAAAACAACCCCAAAACACAAAAAAACAACTAAACATAAAAAAGCCCTTGTCTTGGTGCAGAAGTGAGCTTTTGAGCATGAGTTTTATGCTGGGTATACCATCTGTGAGCCCAGCAAATCATGCCTTGTGCTAAAACTTTCAAGCTGAAATGGAAGTAAAATCCCTTAAGGAAAATGCCCTTTCAGCCCTTCACCAAATTTATTTAAAAAAATAACTAGAAGCTGCCAAAGTAAGCACTCAGACATCACTGAATGTGCAGATTAAGGTAGCCTTCATAAGGGTGGTCATTTGTGCATGTGTATTAAAATGTGGGCTTAGATTGCTTGATCATGTGAGTACCTCGTGCAGAAGTTTTTTCTCTGTAACATGCAGACAGGGCCATGTTCAGTAAATGAAAGAACAGATGGGAAGAGTGGACATTACAGGAGACAAGTAATGGCAGAAGAAGGAGAAGGGGATGGTGGCAAGGAGGGAAGAAGGTTGTAGGCTCAGAAAGGAGGAGGCTAGGGTATGGGGCAGAAAGGCACTGTCTAGACTTGCCACTGCTCAAAGGTGTCCGAGAAAGCGGTGGACATCCTTCACCCCTTCTCTCTGCTGATCTCGGGTGGTTCTTCCTAAAGATGTAGGGCAAGAAGTAAACAGAAGTGGCCCAGCAGTCAGAGTATTTCCTTGTCGTGTTTTCCTATAGTTGATTGGGCAGTTGTCTAGACCCGGACCAGAGGGGAGCTAACGATGGGACCTCGAGAGTTCATGGAGCTGTGGTCTCAAGGCCTGCTTCTCAAAGAAACCAGCCCAGTCAGTAATGGATTAGCAGGTGATGGTGGAGTATAGTAACAGTGAAAGGAAAGGCACAAGAGGCTGATAATTCCCATATGGAAGTGCTGCTAACGAAAGCTCAGGTGGAAATACAGCCCTACAGACTTGGAAAGATTAACTCAAGCTATCATGGACTCGGCAGGCGACTGCGGGAGGGTTGTAGAAGACAGCAATGCAAGCTGTAGCCACAGGAGGTCTCCAAGGGCACTGTGATTCCTTGGCAGCTCATTTGTTAGCTATGCTTTTTACCATTACCTCGAATTGAATAGTTATTAAAAATTGTTTCCCATATGTGATTGTCACATGTTTTTTCATAAAAAAAAAACCTTCCAACTTAGACTAGATGCACCTGTAATCCTTTAGCCCAGTGAGATTATCTACTTGAGCTAAAGTTCTGCTTTTGTAAGTTGTAAAGTAGAAAGTGAGAATTCAATTAAAGCGTGTTTGTATTTAAGCTTTGTGTGTTTGTTTCTTTCCTCCTTCCCTTTCTAGTATAAGCAGTTACCAGAAGGTCTGATCCCTCCGACAACACCCAAATTTGCATATGGGAAGGTTCGCTTGCAGAAGGTAAATTAACATCCGTGATATGCTGTGTATCTTTCTGTAATGCTGTATGGTTTTATTTTTGCAGAAAGTGTTCATGAGGGTGTCATGGCAGTCGCTAGATACCGTACAAAATAAAAAGGAAAACCTTGAAAGCAAACTTTCAGGAAGGAGGGAGCAGAGCTTGGGAGTTAGTGCCATGGTCCATGGTGGAAAATGAGAAAATGTATGTTATCTGGATATAAAAAGATAATATTTACAGTATGCAGTATGTGCCTAAAGTTTTACTAAACTGAAATTAATACATTATTAACAGAGCAGAATCATAAATGTCTAAGATAACTCATGTATGAGTAATGTAGCTGGGAGAGTGCTAGCCTGAGAGCTATGAGCAAAGAGTGTTTTGGTAGCTGGTGATGCTTCGGGAGTAGAAGCAAACATATCTTTTAAATACTTCTAGGTCTTTAAATTTTGAATATGGAACATTTATCAATAAGACTTTAAATTTTTTTTAAAAAGTTTCTTACAAGATTTGTGAAAATCTGTAGCTGATGAGAGAAATTAAGATAGTTTCCTGCTGAGGGAAAAGCATGCAGAACCCAGCCTCGCTATATGCTGTCTAACAACAGGGGTATAACTGGTCAGCAAATGAGTAGCTGGGGTTTGTCCATAGCACCATTGTTTTAGGACCAGTGACAATTTTCTGTGAAATACAGTTGAGAACTAGGTTCCTGCAGTGAGTGTAGGGGATGGTTTAAGGAGGGATAGAAGAGACAACAGGTATGAACTTGGCTATATTCATTCTGCTGGGCGCAGACAACTTGTTTTGAGGTGGGGGATTACTGCAGTTGGTATGCTGGATGCTGTAATTCATAATGCTTTGATTTTATAATTTGAACTTTCAGTTCGGCAGCCACCTTTCCAATCAGTGATGTATCTGATCTGTTATGTGCTGCAGCTGAAGTGTTGCAAAATTTGGTAGTGATAAGGCTTTGCAGGCGTTTTCAAGCCATCCCACTCAAGTGGTGGGCAGAAATACTGTTTGTATAGAAGTGATTCACCAGCGAACTCGAAACAGGTCTATATCGTTTTCAACAACCTTTGAGTATCTTCAGACCTTTTAGGGCAGGGGTTGCCATACGAAGTTTTGCTGGAACTGGCTTTTATTTGGTAGTGACTAATTATATACTGTTATCAGTACACCCACCACTTCTACTGCTATCATAGGTTGCCAGCGTTTGGGAGCTTGGCAGTCAGATTTTGACTCTCCCATCTTCTCATGGTTCACGGCTCTCAGATAGGGCTGTTCAATTTCACTAGAATGATAAACTTTCATGCCTTCAGGGAATGAATGCTGCAGGTTGCCTGGCCCAGATACTTGTCTTACAAAGGAGTCAGATGAATAATCTTGCTCAAATACCGCAGCTTTGGCCTGGCTGTCACACTGGGAGCCCTGTTCCTGCACATTCTCACCTTCTACACTTCCTGCTTTTTTGAGAGGAGGTGTTTTACTCTGCACACAGCAGTTTTAGGAATCCAGATGGCATGTCTAAACTGCCAGCTGTGAGGTTCATGTCATTGCCTGTACATGTACTGCCATCTGCACTGAAAGCCTCTAGAACTGTTTTCTGGGAAGAGGGCTAACTTTTGCTCTGTGAACCCACTGCTTAACTTCAGCAGCAGTTTACTCTGCTTGGTTACCCTGCAACACAGGATGAGTCTCAAATCACAGAGGGTTTGTACCATCCCAGCCAAAGCCAACTCCATCACGCATTCCAGCCCCTGCCGGGACCAGGTCCAGTCCACCTTGTTGTATGGAGAAGCCTGAATGTATTTGGGTGAATATCAGAGAGGGAATATTCTAAAAGATAAGACTTCACTTTGGTAATAGACAGCTTCCCAACTATATCGTTTGCAGTAACAGTGGTAAAATAGGTATTATCTGAGGCTTCACTGTGTAGTCGAGGTCCAGCAGTCAGTCAGCTATACAGAGCATTGAATCTACTGCAGTGAACTAAGTCCCTTGACTCTTTTGCAGAAAGGAAGAGGGAAAGGAGACTCCAGATTATTTTCAGGAGTCATATGATGTACTTCAGAGGTATGCGTAACCAGAGCAGGCTGTTCTCTGTCTTTCTTTTTGCACAAGATATTCTGTGACAATTCAGTCCTTAAATACCTGATCAGTTGCTCAGGACCTAAACTTGAGGAAGATAGATCTTTGCCCTTAGTGGGTATTGCCTGTCATATTTGCTGGTTTTTGGAGGTTTGCAAATAGGTTGCCCCAGCTGAAAATAGTTGGGGAACCCAGGCTAGTTGGGGAGGGAAAAGAAATAAAGAATAATAATAAAGAAAAGCTCCCCTGCTGTTCCCTGGTCAGTCACTTGTTCATTTTGAGCTATTGAATTATTTCAAAGAATCCTCTTGGGTGGGGAAAAAAGGTAATTTATTAAAATATGCTGGGGACACTGACATTGCTGCAGAAGACAGGAAAACGAGCAATGAGGAAAAAAATCTTACTGCATACATACAAAAGAGAAGTGTTGAAGATGAGGAACGAGGACAGGCAAAGGCAGAACAGCAATAGATAGGCTCAAGAAATGTGAGCAAAATGACAGGATTTGGGTGTTTAAAACCTAGAGTGTAGGGAGCATCCTTTCCAGAGGGAAATGTATGAGTCTTAGTGCCTGCAATGCATCTGCATGCCTGTGCAGGTTTGTGAGCAGGTGGTAGTTTCTGGTCACCACTTGGAGGGCCCTGAGGCATGCTTGGTTACAAGGAAATGTCTGCCCCAGCACTTCAGCCTGAAGACTTGTAGGTTCTGGAGTTGTATTCAGTTCTTGGGATGTGGAGATCTCAAGCAATAGCAAATAGTAGTCAACGCTGATAGGAGTTGGGGGTAGAAGGAGTTAAGCAAATGGGAGATGCTGCCAGTAGTTGATATCATTCCTGTTGGAGCTGTTTTGTTTCTTTTCATGCTTGGTCTTACACTTTGGTTTTGAAGACCTTGGTCTGGAGGATGAAAAAGTATTGCTGCTTTTTATTGGTAGTCATCTGTTGTTTTACAGGTTGAGGTTTTAAAAATTCTTGACGGTATTTGTATTAAATTTACTATGAAGTTTCTGTCATTGTACTGATTGTCCACTAAGAAGCAGGTGAACAGGAACTTGCAGCAAGAGCAGATCTTGGGTTTTGGGGTTTTTTTTTTTGTACATACCACTTCAGAGTGAAAAGCTGAACAAAAATAATCCATTGAAGTTTCAAAGAAACAAGCTTCTACCAGCCAGCCTGGTCCTTAAATGAATCATATGTGGTCAACCTGTATTCAGAAAAGAAGCCCCCTTGGTAGCAGGAACTTAAAAAAAAGTCTAACGGGTCCATGTACAAGCTGCTGATACTCAGTTCAGCAAGGGACAAAGCAGCACTCATTGCCAGCCAGTAGCTCATCCAGGTGACCGTGTGTGTTAATACTGTTTATGTTCATTTCTAATTTTGTTGTCCAACTGGGGCCAAGACTATTAATGCTCATAGGATTGTTGTTTAGTTCTATAAATCAACTCTGGCATCTGTGCAAAGATATTCATCTCTTGCTTCACAGCTGTCGTACAAGACCCAGCAGTTCAATCTCTCCTCTGTCCGCCAAGTCCTGCATATTGCTTTAACGTTACTGGCTCCCTTGGAGGAGCACGAGATAAGGAATGGAGCACATACACAGTCCAGAGCATTTGGGGAATTTTACTTTACAGAAGCTGGTTGTTATATTAGGTACAATGCTTAAACTGAAAACATAAAGAGCAAAGGGCTTTCGTGAAATTTTTGAAAGCCATCATTTCACTGACAGCCTTGCCAGGGTGAACATGCTTAACGGTAGACTAGTAAGAGTGACCCAACTTCTGGGTAGTGATGGCATTACCCTTTGTATACCTGTGGCCTCCTTTTGCTATCTTGATCCTAACTAAAGAGTTGAAATAAACTCATTTCAAAAGTCCGTTTAGATGTGTGTCTACCTGCTTGTTGTGGGTTAACCCTGGTAGACAGCTACACCCCACGCAGCTGCTTGCTCACTCTTGCCCAGTGGGATGGGGGAGAGAATCAGAAAGGTATAGGTGACAAAACTTGTGGGTTGAGATAAAGACAGTTTGATAGGTAAAGCAAAAACTGCACACACAAGTAAAGCAAAATAAGGAGTTCATTCACTGCTAACCGTCAGCAGGCAGGTGTTTAGCCATCCACAGGAAAGCAGGGCTCCATCATGTGTAATGGTTACTTGGCTAGACAAATGCCGTAACTCCCAACGTGTGCGTGTCCCCTTCTTCTTCCCCCAGCTTTATGCGCTGAGCATGATGTTATATGGTATGGCATATCCCTTTGGTCAGCTGGGGTCAGCTGTCCTGGCTATGTCCCCTCCAAACTTCTTGTGCATCCCCATCCTGCTTGCTGGTGGGGCAGGGTGAGAAGCAGAAAAGACCTTGATGCTGTGTTTCCAGCACAAATGCAAAATATAGCCCATAAAGCTGCTATGAAGAAATTTAACTCTATCCTAGCTGAAACCAGTACCATACTGAAGAAATAATTGCGTGTACATAGATGATTCATGCTGACTTCTGTCACGTACAGGATTTCATACAGTGATGTACATTTTAATATATAATTTAATATTTCAGCATTGCTGAATTTCACGTATGCTCTGCAAAAATTCAATAATTCTGTTACTGAAGTAGGCTCAGAAGTTTGTATTGCTGTGGATGCTCTTATAGTATACAGTTTTACATGATTTTAAATGCCTAATTTTTTAAATTTTTTTTTTTTTTACTCAGGCATTTGAAAGTAAATCTGCATTTGAGGAATGTTTTGAATATCTGATGTGTAATTACCACTGAACAGTGACGATACTTTTGGTGAAACAGACTGACATCTTGCATGAAAAATATGAATGCAATAGATTTTTTGAGCTTGTAAGACACTAGGCATATTAAGTGCATCTTGACTAACCCAAAATAGTGGCCTTGGAGAGGGAATTGTAGATGAGTAGAAAACTCTATGGTCGCAAAAGGAAATTGCAGATGGTAACAAAAGACAATTTAATTGTACACATGTAAGTCCTTATTCAGCAAGGTACTTATGCATGTGACTAGCCTAAACCTTGCTCTCAGTCTCACTAAAATCAGTCCAGCTACTTATATGTGACACTGAATTACAGCCTTAGGGTTTCTAAAATCATTTAAGACTAAATAGGGTAAGCTCATCCTGGATAACTCTTGATGGAACCAAATTGTATCCCTACTTAGCTCAGAAGGATTCGAGCATAACTCACTGGAAATCAGTGGTATTTTCCCTAGCCTGGTTTTAAGTATAATTGAGCAAAATTTAGATAATACAGTACTTCTGTATTAATTGTCCAGAGCAGTTGTGTTTGTTTATAGAACTTTTGTGAGGAACTCCTGGGTTAGTTCTCATTAAATAATAAAGGGTCACTTATTTTTATGAATGCATAGCAAATTTAGAACATCTGGATTTTTAAAACATTGTTCCATGTGTAGCATGTTCCTTTTAGGGCTCATAGGTCCTCTGTACTGTATTGTATCATTAATGTGTCTGTAAAGATGATGTAAGGGCTTAAGATTTCTTTGCGTTCTGGACAGATACAGCTAGCTGGCTAGGAGACTACTAGATATGCAAGCTGTTATATCTGGATTGAAATTTACTGACCTTCATTTATCTGCTTTTTCTGTGTTGCAGGTGGGCACTGTGGTGGAGGTTCTTGACACGCTGTCACCTGAAGGACCAGTGAAAAGCACTTACCCATTAACCTTTGTTCAGCTAAAGCAGGTGAGGATTACTTCAGTAGGCACTTTGCAGTAATTTTGTGAAGTTTATTTGAACAACCCTCTGTGGTATGACTCTTCTTATGTCCAGTGTCTTACACCTTATCCCAGCACAAAAGTAACAGTAATATAAAGTTGTCCAGGATATTTTGCATTGGAGGCCTTTCCATATTCTACAGTGCTCCTGTTTTGTACCTGAGGTTTTTCTCTTTCCATGAATGTAGGTATATACGCTGTCCAGGCTTTCACCTTTATCTCTCTCCTCTCTGAAATATTGATTTTTCAGGTTCTTAAGAGACTTTTTAATCCATCTTTTTACTAATTATTTTCCTTATCCTGTTTTTTTCTTTGCCTCTCCCCACCTGCTGAGAGTGAGCACGGTGGCTGAGACACTTGCTTTCACATACAAGTCAGAGGGGCTAGAGATTGGGCAATGCAATCCATTTGACACTTCTATGGGCCTCCTACTTATCTGTAGTCCTTTTCTTTTACTACATGTATGGCGAGGCAAGAGAATGCAGTGAGAGAAACCTTCAGGAGCAACTTCTTGGGAGTTGTTGCAACCCACCGTTGAGGTCACTCACCCCACTGGTTGAGATAGGAAAAATACCTTTCTCTACGTTTTCCTGTGGCTTCTGCTGATTCCCACTCTCCCCTACGTTCCTTCTCTGTCAGTCTGTGCATCAGTTTCCCTGTCAATTTTGGTGACTTTCCATATCTTCCCTCTCAGTCAAAGATCTTTCCCTTGCTGCTGAGGGACTCTGTCTTTCAGTTAAGGTTACATGGTCCTTTATAGCTTCTGTGCTGAATTTTCCAGAGACTGGAGCATGGGTGCTAATTGCCTGCAGCTAAAATAAACTGGTTGGAAGAGAATGTGGTGGTGGTAGTAGCTGCGGGAGGAAGAAGAGGAGGGAGCAGTTCAGCAGATGCCTGAAATATGCCATTAGTCAAGTAGGGGTCAAAGCTCAGATTTTTCCTTTCCAAGCCACTAATACAGAGGCATGAGAGAAGCTACGGTAATACGTTGTGGCTGGATGTAATTTCTGCTGGGCTTTTTTCTCTTGTCCTCTGGCCTTCCCACCCTTACCACTCTGCTTAAGAAAAGTCCTAGAGAGAACAGTGCAGCCAGCGGAGCTTCCTAGTATATTTTTTAATTTTTTTTTTTCCTTCGTTCCTCTCCCTGTTTTCTGGGCACCTTGTTGCAAATGTATTGCAAATAGAATAATTACAGCAGAATGGAAATGGGTTACTCTCACTTCTTCCCGCCACAGTTATGTTCTAATCCAAATCTTAAAGATAAATGGTTTTGTGGCTACTGAGTGAAAAAGACGATGCATTTTTTGACTTGTTTTTAACTTGTGTTTCACTTTATGATGAGAAAAAATCCAATGGCTACGACTTTTTTTTTTTTTTTTCCCTGATGGGGAACTTAGTGAAGAATATTCCGAGACGTTCCTGATGTAAATGAGGTAGTTTTAAAAATAGATAATATCAACTTGATGAACATGTCAGTTTATGGGCACTGGGTGACAAGCGCACTTTCAAGTTTGTTATATAAACTCAGTGATGAAGGGATTTTCCGGCTATCTTCTCATTGATTTTAATGAAGAAATAATACTATTGGTCATTAACATATATATTTTTTTTTTTATTGAGAAAATACCTTCATAGCCAAGACCCTTATCTTTTAAAGTTACGTAAATGTTCTGATGAAACATTTAAAAATGGAAACTCTGTGGAATTTACACCCATTACTTAAAGGTCAAAGTGAAGTCTAATCTGAAGCTGGTATCTGTGATAGATGCTATCTGAAGGGAATGGAAGTTAACATTTTAATCTGAGTGTGTAGGCAGGAATGTGGGATATTTCTAATTCATGACCTGAACTGAAGCTACGGAATGACTTGCTTCATTAATCTGTTTGGGTTTTTTCCCCTTTCTTTTCTTCTCTTAGTATTTTGGGTTTGTACTGTACAGAACTACACTTCCGAAAAACTGTACGGAGCCAACACAACTGTCTTCAACTTTAAACGGAGTTCATGATCGTGCCTATGTCTCTGTTGATGGGGTAAACATTGTTTGCTGGTATTCATTTCTGCTAGGAGTAGCCTTCACGAAAGTCATGCATACAGTCTGGCTTTTTGTTTTTCCTCCTTTCTCCAACTTACAAAAACAACTTTATTAGATAAACTTATTTAATTAGATGAAGGAAGTAAGGAAGTGTACAGTTGATTCATTCTAAATGTTCATATTCGTATTTCAGAAAATATGACTATTTCTTATTTCTAAGGAAAACATAATTGTTTCCATTTTTGAGATATTTGAATGTTAATACAGATTCATGACTTCAGTAAAAAAAAAACAACCAAAACCTAGAGGAAGGGTTTACTTGCAGGTTTGTGAAATATGTTAATGATATGTATATGCTTGTTGGCTTTCTACAGTGTTTCCGTAGATTTTTTTTTTTTTTTAATTTTTAATTTTATGTTATTCTTCTCCTTTTTTTTTTTTCCTTTGAGGGTGGGGGGAAGTTGAAGCCTGAGCCTATGTCTTACCTTATGAAACTGGCTCCTGACCACAAGTTAAAAAAAAAAAAAAAAGAAGTTTATTGTACAGGATGTGAACTTTACTTTTCTTCCCTTAAGCAGGGTTTTGTTCCTGCTTAATGAGAATTAATAGGAATTCACAGACTTTGTAGCCTATTTTTTTTAATCGTACTTTGACCTGTGCTGACTTCCATCACCTTTGTGTCCAGGTCAAAGTCTGCTTTCATTATGTTGTGGGTATGGGAATAAATAAAGCTTAACTATGATGTGAGCTTAATTAGAAGATGAAGCCCCTTTTCATCACTGATATTGCCAGAATCTTTACAGTCACTAGACTAAATTTGAGAACTTGCTTTTTGTGAATCAGGTGCATCAAAAACACTAGAGTTCTTACAGTTGATTGAGTTAGTTGAATTCAGCTAAGGAAAGAGATGGTGTCAGCTAGTAGCACATCCAGTTGATGTACTGACCTGAATATTGACATAGCAGTTCTGTGTGTGTGTGCTCCCATGCAAGAGGAAGAAAGAAAAAAAAATTTTTTTTTACTTTTTTTTTCTGTTTCCTTTGTCCCTTTTACTATCTTCGTGCAAGTTGAAGAGACAAATAACAGGGTTTTGTTGTTTTTCAATAGTTACTGTTTTCTTCCTCGGTGTAATTCACATAGGTTCCTCAAGGTGTCCTTGAAAGGGACAAAGCACTTACGATAAATATAACTGGGAAGGCTGGAGCAAATCTGGACATCTTGGTAGAGAATATGGGCCGAGTCAACTTTGGTAGATACAATAATGACTTTAAGGTAAGTAAAATCACTTGAGTTACTGGATTGTGGTGGCTTTTCTGGAGGTTAAAGAGAAAGTAGTGAGTGTGTTAGGAAGAGCAAAAGGATCAGGATTACACAGCTGTAACTTCACCTCAAAAATATAACTACTCACTAGTTTTCCTTTGAGTTCTTCCAGTCCGTGAGACCAAAGTGGAATTAAAAACTGACAGGTATCTTTTGTCCCATTTTGTTTGTTGGTAGCATACCCTTGCAGTATTTTCAGTGTGGCTAGGAAAGGCTGTCTCAGTAGCACTTTAGCATGCAAAATTGCCAGTTCAGATTTGGACTGATCAGGTGTTAGAGATAATTATCAGAAAGCTTCCAAGTGCTCCTGGGTCCGTGCTACACTTTGGGGCTGTCACCTCCCCACATGAGTGGCTGTGGTGGGTTGACCTTGGCTGGCTACCAGGTGCCCACCAAGCTGCCCTATCATTCCTCCTCCATCAACAGGACAGGGAGAAAATAAAATGAAAAGCTCGTGGGTTGAGATAAGGACAGGGAGATCATTCAGCAATTACCGTGAGGGGCAAAACAGACTCAACTTGGGGAAATTAATTTAATTTATTGTCAATTAAATAGAGTAGGATAATGAGAAATAAGAACAAATCTTAAAAAACACCTTCCCACCACCCCTCTCTTCTTCCCAGGCTCTCCTTCATTCCTGACTCTTCTGCCTCCGTCCCTTGAGAGGTGCAGGGGGATGGGGAATGGAGGATGTGGTCAGTTGATAACAGTTTATCTCAGCTGCTCCTTCCTCCTCACAGTCTTTCCTGCTCCAGTGTGGCATCCCATCCACAGGGTACAGTTCTTCATGAACTTCTCCAATGTGAGTCCTTCCCACAGGCTGCAGTTCTTCAAGAACTGTTCCAGCATGGGTCCTTTCCATGGGGTTCAGTCCTTCAGGAACGGGCTGCTCCAGCGTGGGTCCCCCAGAAGGCCACAGCTCCTGCCAGAAAACCTGCTCCTGCATGGGTTCCTCTGCACCAACTGCAGTTCCTGCCAGGAGTGTGTTCTAGCATGGGCTCTCCACAGGCTGCAGCTTTGTTCAGGGCACATCCACCCGCTTCAGAGTGGTGTTCTCCACAAGCTGCAGGATGGATATCTGCTGCACCATGGACCTGAAGAACAATAAACAGGAAAGACATGTGCCTGAACAGTGCCATTTAGTTATCGAGCAAAGGCACACAAGCTTTGAGGAAGTAGAATTTTTAAGGTTGTAAGTAGGGGAAAAAGTAAACCCAAATGTGTGCATCTTGAGTATCCTAGTTGATGAGGCCACAAACTCCTGTTACAGAATCCAGTTCAGTCATAAAACATAGACTGGGAAGAGGCTTGCAAGGTCTCCTAGTGGGCAGAATCTCCCCTTTTCACATTTGTGTTGCCATGAGTAGAATGGGCATATTTGCATTGTTAAAGAAAGATATATTGGTTACGATTAAACAGCACGGAAAACTAGAAGCTAAGGCTTGGTTTAAAGGAGATTAATTGACCAGTTATACTTACGTGTGTCGCGATGAAGATTTTTAGGTTTATTTCCAATTATGCTAAGACTAGTGAAGGCAAAGCAATACAACTCTCAGCATTTGCAAAGCTGGTAACCTGCAGGCTTTTGCCATATCAAAAAGCAGTTTTACTGGTTTTAGACTTTGAAAGGCATACAGGTATTTAAATCCTAATTAGAACAGAACTAAATACATGTGGGAACTTCTGGGATGTATGAAAGCCTCTGAATTAGAAGCATCAGCAACTGAGGGTTTTCTGTCCTTGTGGCATATAAATTCAGTTGGCAGCAGGAGTGCCAACTGTTTATATTGTCTTGTCAAGGTAACTTGCTTTCATCAGAGTGGCAAGAGAGGGAAGCTAGTTCCCCAATGTTTTGCCTTCATGTAGAGGCAGCAGAAATGTTGCATTTATTTAATAACAGGCCGGGTGATAAGGAACCTGTGTGCTTAGTGCTAAATTGACGTAACAGAATAGAAGGTGAGAGGTTGGATTAGGGAGGTGCTCAATGTTGCTGTGGTTGAGCCGAAATTCACACTTATACCAGGGTTTCAACCTTAAGAGTGAAAGCAAGTTTAGTAGACACGTACTTTGGGAGAACAATCCTCTAAAACCAGGATCCTTCTGTGTAGAAGAGGTAATTTTGGAAAACGTACGTTGCTTCTTCCCATATAATCCTTCCCTCATGCTGTCTTGTGTTGATTTTGAAAACTGGGAGTAACCTTGGGTTTTAGGTATTTTGTGCTTCCAAAAGTGACTTTAAGGGAAGAGGTTCGTTCCTTGTGAAGCCTCGCATTTTTAAGCGAATAAGGTAGCTTTGCTGGGTTTTGCTTGGCTGTTTTTTTGTATCACATTTTTGAGCTTGAAATGGAACTAGTCATTTAGCTTTTGGGAAGGAGTCTTAAAAGGGTTTTAGTTTTAAAACATCCTGCTGATCTAAGTGTTGTTGTTGAAGGACACAAAGGAAGGAAGAGTGTGGTTTCTGTTTTTTCTATATTTTTTTTTTTCACATAATCACTGCCACCTATGTCTTTGTTTTACTTGGAAAATTTATATCCATATCTGGACTGTTGAATATGGATTCTTATGCAGACCAAAGTAAGAATGCTTAGTAGGCACTTCATCTCACATGGAAAATCACACCATTCATAGTGCCTAAAGATGGGCTTAGGGAAGCAGGTTAGAAAGTTTGGGCTAAAGTTATGTTGCATTACTTCAATTGATTGCTGGATGGTAAAGTCTAGGTTGTATAGAAAAGTTTTGCCTCTTAACTCTGTGCAGATATTTTGGTTTGATACAAGAAAAATAAGTTCCTCTTCTGTAAAGTGGGCATCTAGGTAAAGGAAGAGAAAACCAATTGGTGCCTGTACTGATGATGAAGCTTATGGAGTCAGTGCAGTGCTCATTAGACATCAGAACAGACACATGACATGGTATCAGGCCATTGAAAATGTGGTTTTGCTTGTTCCTGTTTGACATGCAGTGTTTGCAACAGAAGTTAAGTTGCACTGAAAAACAGCTTCTCTACAGGGTCTATTCAAGCGATTACATGCATGTAGCAGCATTGCTTTAAAATCAACCCCTTGCATTGTGCTGAAACACAACTTTAAAAACTATTATTATAACAAAATTAGGATGTGTGTAGGGGTAACTTAATGTTCCTTTTGCTCTTCTTAAGTCATGAGCTTACCTTGTGTTTGCATTCATTGTGCAAGTACCCTGGTGTGCTGCACAGATGGTTCCATAGAAACAGGACTCTGTGGGCTTGAAGCTGACTGTAAGCTTTAAGTGTTTCACTGAATCAGGGTCACAAAGCCTGTGCCCTGATTTTGTGATACTGTATGTTAGCTGTAGATTGATAGGAAGTAAATACTGCTTTCTCTGCTATTGTGCAGGTTAATGTCTTGGGTTAGTGACTCAGTGTTACCAGATCTCATGATGGTATCTCAAACATACACTACTTAAATAAAAAGCAGAAAAAGCATTAAGCCCCAGGTTTTGGAATCAAGCAAAACAGAAATTTTCACAGTTACGGGAAAAAAGTTTGAAAAAAAACTTGGGCATCGGTGAAAGCTCAAAACTTTGAAGAGGAACAGACCTTTCACAGAGAATAAATGAAACCGTTTATTCCTAAGCAAAGCATATAACTTGGTGAAGACCAGATGCTTGTTTTTCTCGTACACAGATTGGCAGCTGTTGCAAGTACTTGGATTCAGTTTTTATTCGTGACGGTTCTATGGTTGCAGCCGAGTAACTTCAATAACATGAAGCTAAATATGTTATGTTTTAGTGGTCTTTTGTTGTTATTTTTTATCTCCTCTTAGGGTCTAGTTTCAAATTTAACTCTTGATCAAGATATACTTGTTGAATGGGAAATCTATCCTCTGGACATAGATGGAGCAGTGAACCATGACATTGATGGCCACCTTGACCGACCAGAGAGATCTGTTGGCAATCCGATGAATTATGAAGCACCTACTTTTTACACTGGTAGACTTTCAATTCCTGGAGGGATTCCAGACTTGCCTCAAGACACCTATGTCAGGTTTCCTGGCTGGACAAAGGTACAACTATTGCTGTAAAAACTGCTGTAAAGTCCCCTCAGAAAGCTACTGAGGCTTCTATGAACAATCAAAGTCCACCTCTCTTGGAGCGGTAGAAGTTGGTTGTAGTGGTGGGGTGTCTCAAATATATTTAAATGACTAGGAAATGGATTCCTTGCTTTAAGTAAATCTGGAGAGTAACCATTAAGAGAAGGGAAATGTATACAAAAGATACATGATATTGGTCTAGAAAGTGAACCATCACAAAAAAAACCCCAAACCTATTTTTTTCCAACAGTGGGAAAGATGAACTGCCAGGCTTTTCAGAAGTGCTGCATTTCATTGTATTCGGTGTTTTTGTCTTGAGATAGAATCGTAGAGTCATAGAATTGCTGAGGTTGGAAGGGACCTTTAAAATCAAGTCCAACCATTAACCTACCCTGACAAAAACACTTTTAAACCATGTCCCCGAGTACCACATCTACCCTTTTCTTAAACACCTCCAGGGATGGCGAATCCACCACCTCCCTGGGCAGCCTATTCCAATGTTTAATAACCCTTTCAGTGAAAATTTTTTTCCTAATATCTAATCTAAACCTCATCTGACTTAACTTGAACCTATTTCCTCTCGTCCTATCACTTGTCACTAGGGAGTAGAGGTCATCCCCCACCTCCCTACAACCTCCTTTCCGGTAGTTTCAGAGGGTGATAAGGTCTCCCCTCAGCCTCTTCTTCTCCAGGCTAAACAACCCCAGTTCCCTCAGTCGTTCCTCGTAAGACTTGTCCTCTGGAGCATAGGATGGAGCAGAAGCAGATGTGCAGATGGAGCAGATGTGGAGCAGAAGCAGCTTTGTGGAGGGAGGGAGTGAATTACATGCCTTGAGATAAAATAATTTTTTATCCTGGAGGAAGTGAGATGCTACAGGACGCTTTCCTGGTTATACTGATTGATTAAAAGTAATTAAGAACACATTTGTGGTGTTGTGTGAAGAATTATGGATCCTGTTACAAAGCATAGAGTGTGCTGGACTCGACTGCTGGTGTTGTGCTCATAGATACAGATCCAATGCACGGAAGATGTTACTGCTTGTCTTCTGGAGGTTACTGGCCTGAATGGATCAGAGAGCCGCTGCCATGAGAAGCTGTTTGGCAGATCTCTGTTAATGGGAACTTCTCATGGGGCAGGAGCGTAGCTGGAGCAGCAAAGAGGGTGTTTTCACAGTACTGTGTTTGGAACAGCCAACATGCAGGATGGGTGAGGACCAGCTCAACTAGCTGGTGGGAGGCACAGAGAGCAGAATGTGTGTGCTGAAGTGCCGCTTCTCTTGGAAGCCTAAGCATTTAAGTCCTGGCTTCAAGGAAGTGCCTGTGATAGTGTTAGGTAGCAAAATTATTCCTTTCTGAAACAATTAGTTTACTGCTATTAAAATAGAGTAGGAGGAGGAGTTCCTGGTGATCTATCTACAATATTATAGTCATTAGAGTGCTTCCCAATATGCAGAAAACCGTGGTTCATTGCTGGCACTCAGCTTGGATGAGGAAGTCTGACTTAGTCCCTGTTCCTATATATGTGTATATCTTACACAATCACTGAATAAAATCCAAAAATAGCTCTTTGCACAGGAACATTTACTTTTGCAGTAAATTTTGTGATCCAATGAAACATGTCTTCTTCAGGAAGTGAGGTGACCATACCTGCCTGTTGGCAAACTCATCTTTGAAATTGCAAATGAGCCCAAGAGTTCTCATGTACCAGTGGGAATCTTTTCCTCTGATCTATTGAACATAGAAACCTCTGTTTTCTGTATTTTGTATACCCTCTAAAGCAGTCAAGGTGAAGAGATCCAAGTCAAACTGTAAGTAGGGCTATTGAATTGATCCTTCAAGTTTTACGTGGATTGGACCAAAGTTTTAAATAAGATACCCAGGAGTAATAAGATTGAGGTGATACTGGGTGTAGAAGCTGTGAATTCCACATGAGCAAATGCCTTTAAGGCAGAGGGTCATAAGGGTTTAAATTCCACTTAGGTCCCACTGGATCTCGACCTTAATTCATTAAATGGCACTGTGTAAATTGCTGGTGCCAAGGTGTGGAGAGGGACTTTATTAATAAAGACTTTTAATAAAACCCCACCTGTCTGAGTAGTTGGAAAACCATGGAAACAACACTTAGCAAGAAAACATATCATTCTAATGATGATCCTGCCTTTTCACATTAAGACGAGGAATATGACATGCTAGACAGTCTGGAAGAAGGGTGCAGCGTTAACAATCATGACCTATGTTGTAGCTCAGTTGCCTTCGGTGGTTTTTAAACCCTTCACTATTAATAAAACTTACTCCACCCTTGCTTGAGGAAGCACAATGCCCTTAAGCGTACATGCCCCTGAATATAGTTACATTTATCAGACTTTTTTTTGCTTCAACAGAAAAGAGGATTTGGAGTCAGGACTGTTCTTGATTTCTGTGGAATCATGGGTTGTAGTTGCTGACCCCAGTAAAGTAAATCTTGTTACTGAAGGCAAAGATCCCCCTCCTTTATTTTGTCTAGGGCATATTTATCGGTAGTGTGTATACTGTCATGATTTGCTGGGTTAGGGCACACAAGTTCTTGAGTGTGCAGTCTTTAGAAACTGCAGTTTTAATAAGAACAGTTTGGAATTGAGAAATTAACTCATTTTTTTCAATAAAGCTATGAACTTACAATCAATGACTGATTAAGAACAGAAACAGAGACCTGTCTGATTGTGCCTCCTGCATTAGACCTCTAATGCAGTTGATTCCTGCGGTAAACTCCTACTTCCTCCGGGGTTACAGTCACTCTGTAGTAGGCAGGCTACTGTCTGGTGGGTACACTCACTAATTCATATTGTGTGTGTGGCAGTTGCATTAACGTCATGTTTTCTTCTAAAACTACCACAGAAGCAGAGTAGTGAGCTTGAATAGATAGCTATTCTCTTGCCTTTTAATATAGCAAAAGCAAGTTACAAAGCAAGATAAACTTGATTAAAAAAAAAAAAAAAATCAAAGAAAAGGAAAGTTTGAGGTCAAAGTTTATTAGCACCTTGGCAAAACTGTGCAAGATAGGAATCTTATACCACGGAAGTGGATACAGAGCTGAAATAACTCACTTGCATTTGCAAATACCAACTCATTATAAAATTTCTCTTGTGAATTTCATAAAGTCTATTTTCATAAGTACTTGAAGAAGAAAACACAAGAAAAATAGCTCTAAAACAGCTTGAACAGCAATACTTACTATATTACAATTGTGCTTCTGTAAATCCTTTTAAAGTGTTATTTTGGTTTCAGATATCCCAGAAAATTTTAGAAACCACCAGGAGTGCAGTAAAAGTCCTTACTTTCCACCAATTCAAACTGTTTTATTATTTTTGTCAGTGTACGTCAGTGCTATTGAGTTAGTTTGTTTTTCTTCTACCAAAGGCCAAAGCAAGATGGACAACACAGATGCAGTTATATGTTCCCATCCCTTTTCTTGTCCGCTGACCTCTTGTCTTACATACACTGAAAAGACATTTAGGAGGAGTAAAAGAAAATTATTTATCCAAATCAGCTGTATATCCTCCCTTATGTTTTGTTTAATGAACCAAAATTCAGCTCAACTCCGTAGGAGTCCACTTTCAGTTTACTGGAACATTCTGCAACTCACGGATTTATAGACTTTTGGAAAAAACTGCATTCGTGTCACTTCAATGTGTCTGTTTTGAGGTGTATAAATGACTGGTTTGACTTTCTGCTTTTTCCTCTTGCCCAATTTTGTTTTATCTTTTGAACGTAAGGTATTTATAATGTTAGAACAGTATTTTGAACTGGTGGTTCTGGCTACAATAAAAAGTAATTTAAAGAGTTTGTATGCCAAGTTAACCGCAGTTTCATTGAACTTAAATTAATGTTTGGAGACCCCCCAATATTTTAATGGTTGTAGGTAACTACAACAAAATACAGTACTCTTGCAGTGTGATTTCACAAGTTCTTTTGTTGACTAAGCTATAACACGTGTAATAGACATCTGAATTTCCAGAGTTTAGACAAGCTGTATCTTTTTCATGGAATCGTGCAACATGAAGGCGCTACCAAGATAATGTAGTCTTACACTTGTACAGACAGCCACAACAAAATTATGCTTTTTTCTTTTGTGCCTTCTTTTTCCTTTTAAAAATCAACTTCAAGCAAATACAGTTTTCAGGTTTGCTTTGGTCTGGAACTTGGTGCAAAATTCAGTGCCAGGAACCTGCAATTCTGTTTTCTTAAGTATTGCCATTTTTGGAATGACTGCAGTATTTGACCAGTTTCGTTTTAAATATTAATAAGTGCTTTAACTCATCAGGGAATTTAATTCTTTTGACTGTCATTAGCATTTTCTTGAACAGATTTTCTATCATGTTTTATCAAACTGAAGGATGGAGGAAATTCAGTTACTGTGTGAAGAACGTTATGCTTAAAGCTATTTCATCATTTGATCTCTGTCAAATTATTAAAATGTCATTATTTTTTCTTTCTGTCTTAACAGGGGCAAATTTGGATCAATGGCTTTAATCTCGGTCGCTTCTGGCCAGCCCGTGGTCCTCAGTTGACCCTTTTTGTTCCAAGGAATATACTTGTTTCATCGGTGGCAAACAACATAACAGTGTTGGAGCTAGAGCGTTCTCCTTGCAACACCCAGGCATGCGAGATAGAATTTGTAGACAAACCTAATATCAATGCAACTGTACAGTATGAAAATGATGGCCCCCAACTCTTTGTTAGAGACATATGGCTGAACTATCTATAATGATTTGAGTATTTTCTTATCTTCTACCACTTCGCTTCCCTTTCCCTCAAGCCCTACTTCCCTTTTTTAAAGACTGTTAATCAGTAAGTTGTTTAGCTGAGGCAACTTTTTAAATTCTTCAAAGACCATTTTTAAAACAAAAAAAAAAAATCGGCCAGAGTTAAATACTGAAATTCTCTTAAAAAAAAGAAAAATAAAAGCTGTAGCTTTAGAACTTGCCTTGGACTGAAATTGAACTCAACTGGAAGATAATGTTTGTGTCAGTCGTGAAAATGTAGTCCTTGTAGGCTGCTTACATTACAGGAACCCTCTGACGCTTTTCTTTTTACCATGTTTTGCGACTGGAGAGGAGCCTACAAAAGGGATGCACAATCTTGCTAGCTTGCTGTTTATTCCTGCGGACTGGTAAGTCAGAGCTGCCAAGAGACTAGATGCTTTCAGTTGATTTTTATCATCTGGTTAGTATCAGTAGTCTGAAGGGGCTCACTGCCTATGTTGGCGGACCTCATTTTTTTTCAACTCTGTGCAAGTGACCTTGGAAAAATTTCAATTGGTTTCTCCTGGGGGCAGTGAGAAGAACTGTGGAAGAGAGCACTGAAATGCAAGCTGGTCCAAACAGCAGTAACGTGGAGGGACCTTGTAGGCTGCATCTGTCCCCTCTTGGAAAGCCAATTTACTGCTTCCCTTCTGCTATCTTTGAAGACTTTAAGTAAGTTGATAAGTACAAGGACATACATAAAATTTAGGCTCTTTTGGTTGGACCGTAGCCTCTGATTAACCTGCTTGCAGAATGTAGTCTTAAACTGAGCCACTTTTCCTTTTAATGGATCCTATTTTTTTACTTTTTCTTTTTCCCCTCTAATGGGCCCGGAGTACCTGGTTTTGATAGGCTAGCACCTTGGAAATGGAAAGCTTTAAGTTAAAGAATTTTAGTTCTCTTTTTAGTCATTAATTCACATCTGTTTTTTTTTCCAGTAAACTGGTGATCTTTGTTAAGTGCCTGATATTTGGAAAGATGCACAATCTCTGTCAGTAAAGCTGACTTCCTGCAACAGACTGAGTCTTCTTATTGATTCTTATGGGTTTGATGTCAATCATGCAAACTCCTTGGTGAGATTTAAACAACAAAAGATTCAGATGATGGAATCAACTATTTTCGTCATCTGTGGTTTCTTCCTTTGATTTTTGTCTGACATTATTAAAATGGTTCTTTAAAGATTAAATCCTTCCTGTGTTTGTTTGGGAAGGAAGACAAGGATGAGGAAGACTTACGAGCAGTTGCAGTATAAGGGTGAAATGAGGCTGTAAAGTCTCTATGGACAAGGAGTTCTTCTTGTTGATGTCTCATTTGTTTTCTGTGCTATTAAGATGTGTGCAAAGTAAAGTGAATCAAAGTAGTTGTGATAGGCTGTGTGGACCCCGGAGGTGCCACCCTTTTCTGAGATGGCCAGTGCAAAAGCTTCTTTCTTCTCAGCTGATGAGGATTATTACTGTCACCTGAGGAGGGAATGAAAAGGAGCACCACTCCCTTGAGTATCTACATCTCTGCTATGTGTTTCGCCTGTGTTTGATGGGCTTTCGAACCAGACGCATGTGGTTCACCTGAGCCAGAGAGCTTCTACTCTTAAATTCTCACCTTAAACGCAAAGTCTAATGGCTGGGTACTGTGTGTTCAGTACCTGATACGCTTAATTCTTGGAATAAAGTGATCTGCCTTGACCCCAGATTTGTTTGTTTTTTGTTTTTTTTTTTCTTGGCACCATCTCTATGCAGACCCTGGAACGTGCTCTGCAATTGGTTTATTATGAAGTATTAATTACCTCAGAGCCAGGCCTTGAAAGTAAGGAATGGAACAGAATTAGTTTCGTACCGGTTGTGGGTATTGTGGGTTGAAGTGTGCAGAATGACAGTGCTATTTAGGTATTATTCCTACAACAGTTCAGTGCTTTAACAGCCAGGAGTATTTTTATTTTTCTGGCAGTTAGTGCTATGAGGGGAGTGGAACTCCTGGCTCTCATTCTAACTTCATTTCATTTTACATTGTACTTGTGAAAGTGTAGTGTAATCCATGAGAGTTCACTTTTTGCTGTAACTCTGTGTAATATTACAAGCAGAAAGGCTTTGCATCAAGGACTACAAACACGCATCTGGTTAGATGTAAGACTAACAAGAACAAAGTAGAAAAAACAGGCTTAAAGTTTTTCAAGTAGGGCTCTAGATAGCGTTATTAACACACCTGCGTATTTTCTGCTTGCAGTGAAGTGATCTCTTGTTTGCAGAAAGGAACTGAAAGTTGAGGCCCTGATTCCTAATTCTGACCTACCTGCATGAAAACACTGCTAGAGGTTGCCAAGCGGTGTGGTATTTATTTGAGTATGCAGAAGGTAGGCCTCTGTGACATGGGCCTTCAGAGTACGGTGCTACCAAAAAGAACCTGTTGCCACTTGCTGCTGCTTTACCCAAGGATGTGTCTGTAGGCGCTGCAGGAGAGTGTTCTGCCCTGCCCATGTCTCATACTGGGTCACTGTGCCCACACCACTGCTGCTACTACGCGGCTGGGGCTTCCCCTAGGTTTCCTAGCCTTGGCATGCAGTCCTCCTGGGGCTGAGTATGTGATACAGCATGGGACAGCTATGGCATTTTGCTCCTTTTTAGTCTTGAGCAAGTCAGTTATTTTAACGTATCCTCAAATGTAGTTCTATCATCTGTGTCCAGGGGTGGAAATGAAATTGGAAGGAAACCTCCTGACTGAAGACCAAATGCGTAGAAAAGGGGCTGTGATGAGTTAGCTGGCTCACCTTGACCAAGTTTTAATTTGGTTTTGAGGGGCATGATGTGAAAACATTGTCAGACCCCTGGTTAATATCTACGATGTAGCTGTGTGATCTGTTCCAGATGCTGAAGCTCAGTGGGATGGTCTCTCTGGAGCCAGCTGTCTCCTGAAAGCACGGCAAGAAAGAATGTTCCTAATGCTAAAATTGTGGCTCCTCAAATGCTCCCTCCTGCCTGTCCTCGGGAATTTGCAAGTGGTTTGCTGGCACAGCAGCTGAATAATGGGCACAGTGTTCTCCGCTGTCAGCTGACCAGCGCAAACCTGGTATTCAGTCAGAATGGGTCTGTACGGAGCAGTGGAGATTTTACACTGGTGCCATGTGGAAGGTAGGTGTGATCTTTGCAATTCTGTAGGGGAGTGCCATTTGCCATCTGCTCCTAGAGCGTAGCTGTAGGGGCTCAGCTTAGCACAGATATTTTTTTCCAGCCCTGGAGTGCGGTTTGTAAGCTTAGACTGTAATACTGCCTATGCATGAATGAAGGCCTTTTAAATGTGATTGCCTGGGATGAGGTGAACATGAACTGGTGAATAGTGTGCAGTATATAGTTGAATTCTCTTTCTTAACCTGTGTATGAGACTACTCTTTTTCCTTATATTCATAATATTCTGTGATTCACAATCCCTGAATCACTTGAGACTTGACCTTGTCCATATCCTTTTAGACTCTTAATGCCTTTTGTAATTCTCCTGTGCTGGCAGCTCTCCCTGTCTCCCTGCTCTCCCATCTCTTTGGGGGGTCCACAGTGCCTGTGGTTTTCTTTCGCATTTTTTTTTTTGATGAAATACTCCTTGGTTTGCACAGTTTGAATGTTTACATGAGTCTAGACGATTCTAGAAATAATCCTCCTGACTGGACAGCAAATACTATCCACCTGACAAATGTGTCAGGTGTTCAGAAATGGCAATTACTGAAGAATGCTGTGTTTAACAGTGTGCTCTGGAGGCGATGATACAGAATTATCCAGGCTGAGAAGGTGAACTGTTAACAAAACACTTAAGTTTGGACTGCAAAGGGAAGAAATCTACTCTCTTTGGATGGATTTGGTCTCTTTGATATAATTGGATGACTGACTGGACTGTTGCAGTCCCCTTGTATTCTCATTTCAGATATATTGAGATCACTGGGAACAGCAGCATCTCCATATGTGTAAAATGGATATTCTGACAGGGTTCCTAGGATGTTCTTCATGGAAATCCATCCATATTTGAGCAAATAGCTCGCAGTGCTGACAGATCCTAACCTGAGCCTCTGATGGCAGCTTAGTTATTTACTGGGTGTTATTGTCTCTGTACCAGCAGGAAGCTACTTGAGAATGTTTTTCTGTTACATGGCTTTGCAACCATTCATCTTCCTTTTTTTTTTTTTTTTTTTTGCTTGCAAATGCTCTAGCATAACTTCCCAAAAGAACCGCTGATTGATGTGCAGTCCCCACATTTTCATTTTAATTTCTTCTTGTATGTATCTTTTCCAGACTGTAAACACCATTTTAACAGGTAATAAAAGATGAAAGGTTTGTGACAGATGATCTAGCCCTATGCCTCTCTACCCTAAGCCAATGTTATCTGTATCTAAAGTATTCCTAATGTATTTACTCAACCGGTTCTTCAACATTTCCTGTGATGGAGACATCAGACTTCCCTAGGGAAGCTGTTCTAGTGTTTACTGTTAGGAAACTTGTCAACTTGTCAACAGCAAACTGAAGTCTTTGTTGATGTATGTAAGCCAGTGATCAGTTTTTCTATCCACAGCCAACATGAAGTATGTCTTTGTGCTCTGAAACTGTTTTGTGCCCTCTCTGTTACCTTCTTACTGCCCTGATGGACTGGATTTACAGAAGTTTTAAGAGGAGCAGAGCAACGTAGAGAACACTCAGAAAGGATGTGAAAGGGTGATGAGGTCCTGAATGACCTGGCCCAGGTTCTGCAGCAGTTTTATTTGAAATGACTGAGTTGCAAGAAAGCTGTCTTGCAGGCCAGGACTTAAAAGCATGGTAGCCAGCCTCGAGGTCCTGGCTGGAAGATTGTGCGACAAAAGGAACTGGAAGCTACAGAATGAGGTCTGCTTTAATGGTTCTCCATCAATGAGAAGGCAAAACCTGGCAGGAAGAGATGATTTTGAGACTTGATGCAAAGGGCTGAACGCAATAATGTTGGAAAAGATGTCATAGGGATCTTTGTCATGCTTTTACTG